CAAGTCTTACGAGGAGTGGCTGAGGGAGCTGGGGTTGTTTAGCCTGGAGAAGAGGATGCTGAGGGGAGACCTTATCACTCTATACAACTACCTTAAAGGAGGTTGTAGTGAGGTGGGGGTTGGTCTCTTCTCCCTAGTAACAAATGATAGGACAAGAGGAAACGGCCTCAAGCTGCGCCAGGGGAAGTTTAGGTTGGATGTTAGGAAAAACTTCTTCACTGAAAGGGTAGTCAGGCACTGGAACGTGCTGCCCAGGGAAGTGGTTGAGTCCCCATCCCTGGAGGTATTTAAAAGACATGTAGATGTGGTGCTTAGGGACATGGTTTAGTGGTGGACTTGGCAGTGCTGGGTTAACGGTTGGACTGGATGGTCTTAAAGGTCTTTTCCAACCTAAACAATTCTGTAATTCTGTGAGTCTACAGGAGTAGGTGGTAAACAGACCACAGAAAGCAACTAGGCTCACGCTTCCTATAAATGGCTGCTGTTTCCATTGCTACAGAATACCAGTGGATGCAGTAGTGCTGGAGCTGTCTGCCACTAGAAGTTATGGCGGCAAGACATTACAAAAGTCCACTCTTGACTCTGAAGAAGCAATTTATTTTCTTTCCTTTTTAAGAGATGTCTTAGTGGTTTCAGGACGTGCCCTATAGCTACGGAATTGTGAGATTTGGTGAATAACTGTTCAGCGTTCAGCTTATTTACCACCTTTGATCAGTCCTTTCCTCTCTTACTCTTCTCTTCTCCAGACTGAAGAGTTCCAGCTTTTCCAGTGTCTCCTTAAGAGTACTCCATCCCTTTCATCACTTCAGTTGCCATTCTTTAACTGTTGTGTCTTAAGATGAAGAGGCTGAGTTCATGCAGTATTCAAACTGTGGGTTTGCCAAAGCCTTATATAGAAGACAAATTAGGCCTTCCCTGTTATCCTCAGTACACAGTACAGTGGGGTTTTTTTGGCTGATGTTTTGCACTGATGGTTTTCCAAAATCACTGGTTCTGTACAAGGTCAGTCTATGTACAGTCTTGACCTGAGCTGCCAAGTTGCACGCTTGGAAGGGGCTCTGTGAGGTCCTTGTGGAGGAGTCTTGCCCCAAGCAAGCCCTGTGACCATGCACTAGGAAGGAGATCTGGACGGCTCTGATCTGGTTTTTTTTTTTTGGTGACGTTTTACAGTTGCTCTTACAGCTGGGAAGTGGGAGTGCATTTTTATCGCCTGTGCTGGTTGGCCTGGCTGTGTGCACGTGTAACTTCCATTTTGTGTCTAGACTGATGTTGCCTGGTTGAGTGGGCTACTGGGGACAGTGGAAGAGGACAGACTTGGACCGGTCCCATGCTGAGTGTCCGTTAGGTCCATAACAGCAGTACAAAGCAATGAGTATTGTTTTCTGCTATTTGCAGATAAAGCTGATGCTTCAGGATACTGTCTGTCTCTGACTTGCTGCCTTGAAGAAGTCATTTGAGATGCAAATTCCCCATGCTTGTCGTTGAGCACAGTACAGGTTTTATACGATTAACGCTGGTGTAGGCCTTTAGGCTTTCCCGTGAGAGCAGGTATGCCTGGGCTCTAGGTCACGCGCCAGAGAAGGGGGAGAGTGATCCCATCATTGCTGGGATTCCTGGAGAAGGATGAGAAGCCGCCTTCTTCTGCCCGAAGGTACCCATCATCCTGCCCTATTTCAGAGTAATGAGGATGGTCCAGGGTCTGATATGGCCTACTGTGACTTATGAGTATGTGTGTTTTACAGAAAAAAGAGTTTGAAGGTCTTTGTTTATCAATATTAGTGTCAACATCTGTGTCTTGTTGGATTGTGGACAACAGCAAATCTCTAGCAGCCATGCCATTGCTAAATTAAGGTAGTGTGACCTGTCTGCTTGAACGCTCTATTCCCATTTAGATATCCTAAGGATTACGCTAGCCCTTTTAGCTTGGGTATTGCACTTGGGGATTACATTCAGCCAATTATCCCCTTTATCTGAGTGTTTTTCTAACTAGTCTTGCTAATATTCCAACCTTTTGGGGACAGTCAGGTATATGTAAGGTGACAACAAAAAAGGACTTTGAAGACTTTCCAGTTTCTACCCAGAAGAAGAAAAATCAGGTTGCTTATGGTTTTTCCTTAACTTGTGCTCCGTTGTGTGAAATTCTTTCTCACTGCTTTTTATCTTTTTGCACTTTGCTGTAAACATTTTAAAATACTTTTATTAGGACTACGGGCGAAGTATTGGCCGACACAATCAAATACATAATAGACCAAATTTACGCCTGATGGAAACTTAATTTTATTAAGCAAAGTTACCACAGAAAGTCATCTCTGTGTATGTCAACAAAACCAAATTTGCCCTACTTCTCAGCTAATTTTTCATATGTTCTTTAAATAGATATGCATATAAACATGTTTGCACGTATTCTTCTTTTTGCTTACAGAAGTGAACTACTAATGAAAATCAAATCATGGAGTGGTGTAAGAAGGAAGAAATTATTTTAATAGTTGCAGCATTCAAAAGTATTCGTGAAGTAGATCAATACATGTAGCTATATACATGCTGCAAAGGGTTCAGCAAGGAGAAAACAGTGAGCTGACAATACAGTTGGCTTTTTTTAGTGAAGAACATGGGCTTCTTTCATTGAATTGTTCACAGGGAGGAGGGAGGAGTGGAAGAAGAGGATATTTAGTGGTTTTGTTTGTCATGGTGTTCATTGTCTGTATGTCTGTTAAGAAACATGGTGGCCTCAGCTGAAGTTTTGCACAGACGCACTTTGGGACAGCCCAGCATTTGGTACAACAGCTGAAGCTTATGACATTTTGCTAGTGGAACAATACATAAATAATTTGGAATAGTCTTTGTGAGCAATGCTTGTTTAGTGTAAATTGTGGGCTGTTGCTGCCTTATTTTGCAAATTGTGAGCTAGCTCCATCACACAGAAAAGAAAAAAAAAATAACAAAAAAAAAAAGTTTTGCAACAACACCTACCAACAAGCTGTGACTTATGCAAACCCTTTTATTAGTATCATTGTGAGCTGTTTTTAAGAGGAGAAAATAGACAATGCTTCTGCATAAGCCACTATTCCTTCTGTGCCACTTATCTCGGTTAACTCTTCCTGGCCTCTTGTTAAATGACGTCGTCTTCCACGCATGCAATGTTTTGAGCATGGCTGAATTTGTCCATTGAGAAGATGCCTCAGCTTGAGATTGCTCTGGAAGCTGGAAGCGTTCCCTCCTGGAAGGACCCTGCCAGGCTGGGACTCCACACAGGTGGCAAGAACCTGAGACCCGGGTCAAAAGTTCCTCGCCCGGCTGCCGTGCCGTGCTGGGATTGCTGACATACATATGTGATTGCTGACGTACCCAGTTGGCTGAACTTCGTGTATGCCTTTATTTTTAACTTAGTAGATTTGGTGACAGGCTGCTGCTTGTAAAGTAGCTCCTGTCAAGAGTTTGTTTTTAATTTTTTTTTTCTGCCCATGAACATTTAGATCTTGTACAACTTTGGGTTGATGATATTTCTTCTGAAACCTTTTCTTTTGTTTCTGAAACTACCAGTTTAGGACACTGGCCATGCAAAGTGTGGAAGTATCTGGTGAGGAGGACAAAGGCTTCTGAAATGTTTGGTGTATTTTAATGGGAAGGAGATGCAAAACACATGAAATTGTTTTAACTCAGTTTTGTGACAGCTCCTCGGGCTAAGAAACCATGTATACTCGAATGATTAGCCTTTAAACTAGGCTATGAAGATACCTTCTTTATGCTTATTTTTGCATTTTTGAGGTTGGAAGTTGCTTTTGATGGCAGCGCATACACATTCACGTTGCTTTGAGCAGTAAAAAAGATATAACAGCCTTGACTGGCTTCCACAACAGCTGTCAAAAGAATGATGATGAGTTGCTTGTGAACTCAGTACTCAGAGTCAGCCTGTAGGAAAATTGCTTTTAATATGTCTGAGAACATCCCGGCAGCGACTGGACCTGTTGTGTGCAGCGAGTCCGGTCCTCACACAGTTGTTGGGGAGAGTCTGTTGATTCACAAACGCCTCAACTCGCAACTGTGTTCAAGGCCAAAGATGCACAAACCCAAAATGTTTAGTTAAGGTAAATGGCCTTCAGTGTCAAGGCTCCCTTAACTTTTGTGTCATACTTGCAGCTACAGAAATAATCCTTTGGCGTTATTCTGTGGGGCTGCATCAGTGTGTGCTGGTCATTTTTGAATGCTACATGTCTATTAGTCATCAACAGCTCTAACAGTCATGCTTCCCTGACTTTGGTATATATTAAAAAAAATAAAAAATAAAAATCGGCACATTTGTGTTTGTCTTCTCCATTGGCTGTACTTGCTCTTACCCGTTTTAGTCAGCCTGTGCTTTTAAATGGGTGCAGTCTCTAGTCGCATAAACATGACCTAGCCTCAGATTGGGGATCTGTTGGTGTTACAAATCACACCCTTGTTTCCTGGGTGGAAAGCCTGGTCCCAGAGGAATTCATGCAGCTTGTTTTCTTTGATGCAGGCTGCAGTTAGGAAGCCCACATAGAAACACAGCCTTTTGTGTTGTTTTGGGGACCATTTATGTTTTCCAGCCTTTTAACTGATCTCTGGCATGAAGAGTGGTTCAGAAGCTGTAGGAAAGATAATTCCTCCCCTCTGTCAGTGGTCTTGATGTACTGGCTGGTTCAACATGACCTGGTTTTGGAACTGAGCTTCCCAGTGGGTGTGCAAGCCTAAACAATGAATTCTGAGCTTCCTGGCCCAAATCTGTCTGAGGTGGCTAATTATAACCTGATTCACAGGTGCAGTAATGAGCTGTCATTAACCTGATGATTCGTAAAGGTCAGGTTCTTCATGGGGAAGGAGTACCAGGCAGATGGCAAGTAAGATATTGCCAAAAAAATGAAACAGAATAGCACCAAGAAGAGCCAAAGCCAAACCATCATGTGCTCCTGATGGAGCCCAGTGAGGCTGCTATCCAGAACTGCTTCTTGATGAGAATTTTTTGATTTTTTCCCAAGAAACATGGGGAGTAATGACGCTGTGCTGCTTCTGAAAATATATCCCAGCATGTCAAAGGAAGACCCAGCCTGAAGGCTCTGATGGTTGGCAGTGGTGGGATCCCATCTCGGCTCTGTCACTTTAGCTGTTCAGGTGTAACACCCCCCAGTGCCGTCACACGACTGGAGCGGGTTGAGTAACTGGCTCCTGCCTGTGTGAACCTGCTTGTGAATGACTACCTCCTGTTCTTCCAAAATGTGTCTTCAGCTTCAATGAAACACGGTGGCAGTGACAGATTGAGGATGAAAATGCCCACCTCTATGGTGTAACTGTCTGATGTGCTGATAGAGGAAAACAAGACGCTGCTATGTAATAGTTTGTGATGCAAATTTGCATCACATTAATTGCTGTCTGTCTTTGAAGAGACAGAGCTGGAAATGGAGGAGATGCAAGGGTGTGGGGGAAAAAGTAAGGAGAGGAGGAGGTTTTAGGTGGGGAACCTGTGGTTTGTATAGAAACTGGGGAAAAACAGCACAGAAACCAAAGTTAAAGTTTAAATAGAAAAAATAAACTGGTGGAATTTCAGGTGGCTTTTGAAAAGAAGAGTTGTTGCAAATACAGAAGCCATGTGGAAAAATCCCGAAAAGGCATGAAAACAAGTGGCTTTGAAAGCAGAAACCATTGAATTCAGCTACTGCACACTGATAGATGTCCAGTTATAACTGTAAATCAGTAGATTATTTCTAAATGTTCCTTTTAGAAATGAAGGAGGATGTGGAAAGCTCATTAACTATGGGGAGTGCTTAGGAAGGAAGGGAGGTAATTAGCTCTGTAGCTTCTCTGTCATACTTGTTCAGGCTGCACAAATTCGTAATGGCCTTTTCCGTGTGTAAACAGTAAAGCAAGATCTTTCCGTAAAGTACTTTCTAGAGGAACAACAAGAGAGAGAACTATGTATCCATTTATCTCGCTGCAATCTGCCCAGTACAGTGGGATCCCTCTTCCCGCTCTCCATTTGCTGACCAGCATCCTGCTTGGTTCCCTTCCTGAGGAGCGAAAGATGAAGGGAACATTTGAAAGCACCTATATTGTCTGATAAATGAGTGATAATGAAATCGCACAACCGACACGTTTTTGTTTCAAGCAATAATCTTTTCAATCATACAACTCTCTATCAAGCGAAGCTTGCTGCGGCTGGTGTTATGTTGTCAAAGCTGCTGCTTCATTAGAGAAATCTTTTTGTAGGATATCTGCATGGCTGGCTGAAGGCTTTTGGACTGAAGCCTGAAGTGTTCTCAAGACAGGTTGGCAGTTGGAGGCTGTGGATAGTGCAAATGTAATTTGAAGCCTTGCACATGTGCAGAATGGCAAAAGCATTTGTGTTTTCCAAAATCTGTTCACTTTTAATGGATGAGACTGTTATTCTTGACTCATTTTGAAAGATGAAACCAATGATGCCTGCTACTTGCCATCTATTTTTAGAACATTTTTGTCTCAGTTTTTCAGACCATTATTTAAGTTTTGCAAGTTTTTAAAAATATATTGTTAAAATTGGTTGGTATCTGTGCATTTCAAGAGCTTACGACATCGCATTTTAAATAATTCTTGGCACCTGTTCCTCTTATGGTGAAGATGAGTGGTGTTTCGCTCTAGTGACGATGGCAGAATTCAAGGTTCATGCATTAAACTGTGGGTTTGTTCTAGTATTGTGGTTACCAACTTGTGATACGGAATCCCTTTTCATTTATTACTGTGGGAAAAGTCAGCGCTCTGAAGAGTTTTCCTGGCAGGCGTTGTAATGAATATACAACACAAAGACATAAGTAATGCAACAAATTTGATACTAAATTATTTAGTAGTTGTAAGATGAAACTGAGCTGTCAGTGACAGGAAACGGCTAAACAACGCTTCTCCTTCCAGCGGATGGTATTTCCCTGGATCCGAAGTGCAATGTGCAATGAATATTTTGAATCTTGTGAAAGGGCATAAGTTTGGTTTTCTCTTGTGGTTGTATTATCTCAACTATAGAAACTGTGGAGGTTCCGGTGCTCCCTTTACCTAAAAGGGAAAAAATTCTTCATCTGTAGCATTTCACATTGTTTCCGTTTCCTTTGTAGGACAGAAGAGGTGCCTGCAGCTCAGCAACCTGCAAAGCCACAGACGCAAGCCAACGGAACAGGTAATCTCAGTCAGATCTCTACTAGCAGTTTGATTCAGTCGGATTTTTTTATCCCCTTTCATTCGATCTTTAGAAGATCAAACCTTGCTGAAAAACTTGCTGGGTCTTTAAGCAGCCTTCTGAAGAAGCCGAATGTGAAAGACCGTTTGAGCAGCTTCTTACCTCTCTGTATGATTCTGCATTTACCTTTTGTAGTTGACTTTGTACACCTCAGCAAGGAATTTATTTCGTATTGTAAAGCCTTTAGGAATGTTATGAAACCTGTTGCCTGACTTCATCGTTCTTGCATGCCTTGCTGATCCTTGACTTAGCAGAAAACAGATGTAATACATAGAAAAGATATTCTGTTTTGTTCTCAACTGCAAAAAGCTCTTTTATGCCATTAACCATATTACTTCTTCCTTTTCTTAAAAGAAAAGACATTCTAGAGAAGGAATATGTTTAAGAGTTACTGATTTTTTTTGGACACCTCCACTGTTGTCTGTATTTCTCAAGCTGCTGCTTATTAGGAATTCAATAATGTAGTGATTTCTGGAAGAACTAAGGCCACAGGCAGATTCTCAATCTTTGAGTACACTTAAGCTTTCCTCCCCACACCTCTTGATTGAAACAACCACTTGGGATTTTAAATCTGTGGATTAAATTTGAAGTTGCTCCTCCTGTACTCCCATAATGTCAATATTTTCTGTTATGTGAACTACAACCTGCCATTTTTTTCTGTCTTGTACACTCAAAATTTCTTTCTCAATACTAGCTGAAGCATTAGCATGTGGGAAGCTACTTCGTATTTTTTTATTTTCAAATGTAAGTATTGTCTCAGCTGTAAACTGCCACTAAATTCCTTGTTTTTCTAGGTATCACTGCTATTCTTTAATAAATATTTTGATTCTATTTTCTAAGCACCGGTTGCTTTTTCTCACATGCTTAAAAGCATCATTTTGGCTATTGTAGTTGGCTGATTAATCTTTCATGCCTCTGTTTAATCATATCTTAATTTTATAGAGTTCTGTACTAAGTTTGGTCCTGGAATAGTTGTGACCAGTGTCCTCTTCGTGACATTGCTGTATTGACCTACCTTTCCAAAGAACAGTCAGTCTATTCCTTCTAGACAGTGATTTTCTGAGTTACAGGTAAAGCAAAAGGTGATTGTTTTGTTCTCACCTGTGCTGCCTTAAGGCTTTTACCCTTATAATATTTCCATATACCCATATATTTATGTTATATTTTTCCACTGAAACTGACATATAGAAAGTGTGCATTGCTTCATAACTTTGCCGTATAAGGCTTTCCAGGCAGTATTATGGCTATATATTCTATATATACAAAGTGGCATATACTGCATAACTTCTATAGCGAGGCTTTAGAAAAAAGAAAGTGAACCTTATATGTGTATATATATACACAACCACAGAGTCTTTACAGCCTATAAATGGTTGGAAAGTAGTAGTAAAAATGCCTCTTGAAGAGTCTTGCTTAAGTTTCCACCTCCCTTTCCTGTCAAATTTGTGTGGCTGCAAGGTGGTTGGCCTGCTCTCTGCTCCAGTGTTTTGCTTTACACTTGCTTTTCTCGAGGTGACCCTTCAGCACAATAGGATTGCTGAGATTTATGTCAGTCTTTTGTTTACAGGAACCTCTTAGCCAGAAAATGCTTTTACAGTGTTTGCTAAAAATTCTCCTTTGTTAAGATGTTTAAGTAATCTCTGTACTTCTGGTAATAAGATGCTTCCATGCGCCATACTTGGAGCAAAGCAGGAGTCACCTTTAGTCTAATTTTACCAGCTTAGTGCAGTCATTGCACAGGTTTCTGTGCAATGGCAGAAGTAAATTGCATAGTGACTTTCTGTGAAGAGTGCTGGTGAAGGGCAAAAAAGCTGTACAAAGTCTGCTTCCCAGCGAAGCATGGTGTGTGGAAACAGGAGCAGACTCTGTATGAAGATGTATTCTAGTATGATCCTGATCCTTAGTGCTTCTGTTTTATAGATAAGCGTAGTCACACAGTCTGTTCGAGACTCCAGAAGTGGTTTTGTGACAAATTTGGGGAGTATGTTGAGGACTTCAGATTTCAGCCAGAAGAGAATACAGTGGAAACAGAAGAGCCACTTAGTGCTAGAAGGTAAATCTCTAATGTGATTGTGAGAAATTGTTGGCTTCTTTACAAGTTGCTTTTTTTTCACTTTCTTTTTTTTTTTTTTTACAACCTTTTACATGTTTTGAGCAAGTGTTTGCATAACAAGTAATAAAACTGAAAGTACAGATCCATCTCAAAAGGTTTGTGAATGCTTTGGCCAAAACATGAAATTTGAAGTTTATCTGCTGTCTGAGGTAGAATAAGAGTTATATTATTTACCAGGTTCTGTCATATGCCTCTTGAAAACTGTGGAAAAAGACTTAATTAGGCTGGAGAGCTTTTACATTTCAATTTGTGGTTTGATGCAATGTAGGCTGTATTAGTTACTAGAAACACATTTCAAAATAGGCAAGAATGAAGCTTTATGCACAAACATGTAATTCATAACTGTGAGCAGTATTTCAGGGACCAAATGTACACAGCTGTGCACTACTTGCCTATTTAACAAGTCGCTTTTATCCGTCATTTTTCAGGTTGACTGAAAATATGAGAAGATTAAGTAAGTACTTGGCGGTATTTTATTTTCTGGAAGTAAAAATAGTTCTTAGTAACCCTATTGGGAGGATTGCTGCATTTTAAAATACAGTGTTTTGAAATACTTCTGCCAGTTCATAAGCAGAAATTATTCTGAAATCCTGAATTAGTGTTTGGAGTGCAAAGTAACTTAGAGGAGCAGTGGTAGAAGCTTGCCTTTAATGTTGAATTACATAGGGTATCTCTGAACTAAAAACGTAATGTTAATTAAAATGCGTAAACATGTAATGAATGAGAACGGAGTGTTTGTACAATAGCAAAACTAATAGTGTTCATACACTTATGCCCGAGCTACTTGTAGTTTGCTTGCTAGTCTATTAGCTTATGGTTTCAAAGAAGGAGGGGTTGGACAATGCATACCCTGAGTATGTATTGCATTTCTTTCTGAGTATGTCTTGCATACATCATTATGAGTATTTCTTTCTGATTATGTCTTGCATACATTATTTTGGAAGGTGGAGGATGCAAGATGGCAGGTTAAACAAGGTAGTTAAGCCCTCCAAAAGTTCTGTGCAGCAAAGAACTGTTAGCCTGAAAAAAAACCGGCTGATTTGTGCTCCAAATAGTTAAATTATTGTAGGGGGGAAGGTGAAGTTGAAATAAGGGTCTGTAATCTCCATGTAAGGTTGGTTTTATTCTCCTTATTCTAATACTGGTATTCATTCTAGTTTAATTTGGGAGAATACTTATGACCTGTTCTCCATGGTGGATGTGTATTGCCCTCAGAATAGCTTTAAAAAAAGCACTATTAAGCTTAAGCTTTGAGTAGTTCTTAACTTCCACTAGGTGAGCCACAAAATCTAGATCCCTGTTGTCCAGGGGTACCTGACGACCACCTGGAGCTCCCGAGACCCTTGGTTGCTCTCAAGACCCCTGTTGTCACCAGCAGTTTCCAGGTGTTGACCTTCCCTGCAGGTTCGGTGTAGGATGGTGGAGCAGCACTTGAGTCCGTGACCTCTTCCAAGTGCCTTGAGCGTGCCCCTCCATTTACTTCATCTGCTGCTTTGGTTGTGCCACTGATGCTCAAGGAAATCTAGTCCTAGTTGTTTAATTACTTCCCATAGGGAATGTATCAAGGATAGCTGAATTTCAAGCCAAACAAACTAGGACAGCAAGTCACAGGCTGCCTTGAGAAAAGCTTTCAGAGTTGTGAGCTGTACTGCAAATGAGGGTGGGTGCTCCTGGAGCCCCCTGTGCAAGTGGAGTCTTCATCAGCAGGAAAGGCAAAACTGGTGTGTTTCAGCAGAGAAAGCAAAAGTCGTCTTGCAGCAGCCCTCTCCTGTTTTCTTGTGTCCCCTAGTTAGTTTGCCCAAGTGGTAAAAGAGCTTAAAGGAATAGGAAGGGTAAAGGGCAAGTGTTTTTTAGGGAGCTGGGGAAGAGCTCCTCTTGCTGCCTCTGGCTTGCTGTGGGCATCTGCGCGTGGGAGTGCCACCTCTCCTGGCGCAGGTTTGTCTCCCATGCAGTGACAGCGAGAGCAAAGGTCTGCAGACGTGGGAGACAAATGTCTTCAGGGAGCAAGGTCCTGTGTCTCTTGGCTTACGAAGAGTAAGCAGCAAAGTGCTACCAATGGATAGACTCCTGCAGAAATGTAGCCAAGAGAGATCTAGCCTGATTTTAAGCTAGCTTGGTCAAGCAGCAGCAAGTGGTTCCTCGGTGTCTTGGATGCCAGGCAGGCTGATTTACCTTGTTTTACAGTGGGATGAACTCACCTGTGCGGAGGTCTCTGGGGCAGCATGAACAGGGCTCAACACGCTGGTATCAGCATCCAGGCTACTCTTGTAAAGGATATTAATTTTTTTTTTATTTTTTTTGTCTATACTTAAGAGTTTAGACATAACCTTTGTCTTGAATAACACTAGTTTTTGGAAATGCATTCCTTAACTAATTATTCAGTTACATCAATGGGTTTCATTTTTCTTAATTTGGATAAGCCTTTTTATCATTACGTCTTGAATATTCCTATTAATTTTCTAGTTTGGTTGTTTGTCATTTACAAGTTATTTAATCACTGCCAGCTTATTCTAACAGTTGTGTTTTTTCTCCGCTTCTGTTTAGAGAGAGGTGCCAAACCTGTTACTAATTTTGTGAAGAATCTTTCTGCCTTATCAGACTGGTATTCTATCTACACTTCTGCTATTGCCTTTATTGTAAGTTATTCTATTCCTCTAGGCGTAGTAAGAACTTTTAAAATGTCTTATTTACTGAAATTCATTGAAACTGCTGTATCTGAGTAGGGGTTGTGCTACAGTGTAAGTCAAATCAAATAATGTAATTCCATTTAACACACAATACCAGTAGTTGTCACTTCAATTATATTTCAAAGCCACTTAAATTGTGTATTCTGGGTTTATTGTAGCATGGTTTGTAACTGTTAAAATAACTTAAAACAGTCTGGGCATTGTTCTCTCATTTCTTGTTTCCTGTCTCCCAGTCCGGTAATTTGATGGTTACTTCAGCCTCTGCAAAGTCTCTTTTTGTCTAGGGCTGATATGCTGATAGTGGCTATGTTTGATAAGAAGCTATCATTCACCATCAGTGCTGTTTGCCATTCATTAGGACCATACTTACTGATGAGAGACAAAATGCCTTGATTTGAGTATCATTTAATGTGCAAACATCGGGTCTGTGAGCTAAATTCAAGCATTCCCATACTATGTAAGGAGGTTTGCGTGCCACAAAGTGGCATAACTATTTAGTGGAGTTTTGATTTGTTTTGCTTCTAATTGTTAATTAAATGATCTAAGTTGTTTTGGTCACGGTGTATATGAAATATTTTGATATGGAAGGAAATTATTACCGGTAGTTGTAGCTGAATGAACCTGTTTGGTGAAAATGTCACACACCTTTTCATTAAATGATCCCCCCCTGGAAGTTATAGAGCCCTATTTAATGCTACTTTGCACGGCACAGCTGAAGGAATATTGAGGAGGAGACTTTCCCCTCCTGGTGCCCTGTGTCTGTCCCTTCTCCTAATCTACTGATTTTTCTCTGGCCTCTCCTGACAGACCCATTCTTCAGATAAAAGGTGAAAGAAGGAACTTCAGCTGTTGTTCACAAAGCTCTGGGACCTCAGAGCCAGAGCGATGCTTCATTTTTGGGGTTATCAGTAAAAAGTCTAACATATCTTGGCAGGGAAGCTGTAGTCTCTATATTTTCAGAATCTGGGAAAGGGACAGAATACCTTTTGAAGCACTTTGTGTTTGTACTTGTTAGATAAAATAAAACCTGCTTTCCTGCAGTCTTTTTAAGCTTGGTAAAAATATGGGATTTAATTGACCTGAAATAATAGAGCGAGAGTTTATCCTGTTGCCCTGTATGGGGCTAATTGTTATAACTCTTCTACTGTACTATTGCTTCAACTGCCCTAGGTGAGGTTAGACCATATCGTGGTCATGTAGCAGATTCACAGACTTTAGGGTTTACTTTCCCCTGGCCTGCCCCCGCCCCTTCATGTAATTGCAGTGTTGGAAATACTCAGGCAGCTGAGAACTAGTTAAGTGTCATGTCTGGAGATTTGGTTCAGTCTTAGTTTCGACTTTACATTCGTGAATGCAGTGCTGTTGTCAGTCATGGTGTGGCTAAAATTTATGAGCTTTTGTGATCTGAATTGCATGATTCTGAACCCAATAGTACAGTGGGAAATGATATTTCATGCAGCTCACTGTACTCCAGTTTATAATCCACATCTCTCTTTTTTTTTTCTTTCTTTTTTTTTTTTTTTCTTCTTAATCTGCAGATTTACATGAATGCTGTATGGCATGGCTGGGCCATTCCTATGTTCTTATTTTTAGCAATTTTGAGGTTGTCCCTAAATTACCTCATAGCCAGGTATTTACTTAAATACTAGATTATTCTCTTGTAATGCTTTGCTTGAAGGATGTTTTATTATTCTTGCATTGAGTTGTAAACTGTTACTTTTTCTAATGTTGTGGGTTAAGTCTAACAAAGTGAAATTCAGACTCTAATATCCTTAATTTCATTGCTCAATTTCTATAATTTCTTACTATGCTAAGGAATTATCTTCGTATCCTGTGACTTGAGTCGTCATAAATGATGCTACATGTTCTCAGAGAAATCCCTCAGCACGTTAAAATTCTAAAAAAGAATTCTGCAGCATTCAGAGTAGTTGTAGAACGTCACCTTAAATGTTGAAGCCTGCTGCTTTTCCCTGGGGAGAATTTTCACCTAGGCCTAAAATTGCAATTTGGCCTTATGCTCTTGGCATACTTTATCCAAAGTATCTTCCATTTGTAAATTAAGTCTCTCTTAAAAATCAAGACTTTTTAAAATGTACATTTTCTGTACTTTTTAAAATGCTTTTTCAGGCTGATGGTGTTTTTCCCCCTTAAAATGGTGGAGAGGACCTTAATGTGCATATTTTAAAATAATTTTCTGACTTCTTAATTGATACTTACTGTCTGACACTCTATTCTTTGAAAATTGCCAGTAGAAAATAGGCTCCTGAATAAGTTGATATAATTTTGTTTACATGAAAAAACAAGAAAAAAATATTCCTAATAATTTAGTCTGTGCACACAGTTCACTTTTGTTGTAAAACCCGCAAGCAGTGATTCAGTGTAGTATGTACCTAATATATTTTTTTAAAATGTATATACCTTTAAAGCTGTCTGTGGTTGGCCACTTGTGCTTTTGTTATGTTGTGGGTTCTTCATTAATTCGGGGATTGTTTTATTATTTTCTTAAGCCATAGTGCTTACTGCAGAAAACTACTTTTTAACCTCTTACAAATAATCCATGTTGGCAGGTGGAGAAGAAGTACTTGCTCTCTTTAACTATTTCCATAACTTCTAGGGGTTGGAGAATACAGTGGAGCATTGTGCCTGAAGTTTCTGAACCCGTGGTAGGTCTTTGATCAGTTTGACCTGTGTGCCTACATTAAAAATTGCACCTTTAAAACATGCCTCTGCATTTATGTGGGTAGTTGTGAAGGGAAGGAAGAGCGAGATGCAGATAAAGAAACTGCAACTTTTTTCTTTCTCTTGAAGTTTAGAAGTCTTCACTAACAGCACTCTTAGGTTTGGGTGTTTTACCCTAAAATGTCCCAAACTTGAATCACATTTCTGGAATCAATGTTAATATGCCAGCCTGGGACAAGTTAGATCGTGTGGGATCTTCAAGAAGGCTTGCATTCTGTTTTCTTTGTAACATTTTGAAATTAATGTCTGCATACCCTGCCTTAAGCAGGAAGGATTTTAAGTGTTAATGTAAGATGGAGCTCTTTGAATTTCAAACCTTTCACTAAGATTTAGTGAGACCTTGCTTCCAGCATAATTTTTTTACTCTTAAAAGTCCAATAATCTATTTAAATAAATAAATGAAAAATTTCTAGGTGTAAACCTTCTAACAAAAATTATATTTCTGTGCTAGACCAGAAGTAGGTCAGATTAAGCGTGTGGTCATAAACTGAAAGTCATTGTAACCGTGCTGCTCCAAAGACTTACTATGTCTTTCACAGCCTCATATTAATGTGTTTGCATATGCCGTGGAGGAAAAGCATCGGGAACTAAAGATAACCAACAATTAAAGACATAAAGAGTAGACCTGAAACAAGGGAGGAACTTGGTAAATTTAGAGACTGTTTTAAGTGAGAGGACTATTGCCAAGAAAGTTGAGGGGTCACCTTGTCATGAGGAGTTTTGTAAAATACGAGTTTCAGCTGAGCTGAAAATCAATGGATTGTCTCTTTCTTGCCCAAGGAACCCCCAAAAGAGGACCTGACCGTGTCTGAAAAGTTTCAGCTTGTTCTAGACGTGGCTCAGAAGGCGCAGGTACTGTGCTGCTCGTGGACCTCTCTGGTTGGCTCCTTAGAAACAAGGAGGTTCATAGTCCAAGTGATCAAAAGATGTTATGCAGCCTATGAAAACAAACACTCAAACAAGCAATACTTTTCTTGCATAGGGATCTTTACCTACGAGTAATAGAGATCTCAGTAAGATTCCTGGAGCTTCTGAAATGGCACGATGCTTCAGAGAACTGGTTGAGGTTCTCCAGTCACAGCTCTGAGCGAGGTCTGGAGGGGAACAGAAGCAGCTTTTGACAGTTTTTCCCCACATGAGCTTCTGATAATGTAGATCAAGTGGTGAATCTTACCAATGTACTGGAGTGTGGATCCATATCCCAAATCTGCTAGTCGCAAAACTGGTGTAGGAGACCCTATTCCTTCAAGATCTAGCTGAAGGCTACTGTCTGTTCAGCTGTGTTAATTCAACAGTTTGTGCAGCATCTCTGAAATAGCCTGTTTCAAACAACACCACCGCCCCTGCCTCGGCCCTGAAATCTGCTGCTTGTGTGGGAGAGGGTGAAGGAATGTTTTCTCCCAGCTCCATCAGTTTGATGAGCTACCGCAGCAACTGAGCGACTCCACCATCCAGTTGAACCACAGCCTTGTGCCATAACTAACAATGTGCTGCAGCTAAAGTAGCTTACCTTTCTCTTGCCACCTGTGCACGCTTATCTCCTTTCTTCTGGTGGTGGTGCATATCTTTATATGAACACCTTTGGAAATTTATTGGGAAGATGAAATTTACAGGTGCTGTGACAGCAGGGATCAGTCAGACAAGATGGGTGAATAACCCTCTTAGTCCTGAGCAGGGGTCAGTCTGCATGAACAATTGTTGGAATTACTTGGAATCTAGTAACTCCAAGGGTGTATTATAAAAACCTGATAGTAGGGTGTTTCCAAAGAAGCTAACAGTCCAACAATTGATGAACTCAGTAACCATTTCCTGAAATTTCAGTGCTCGAAAAGTGTGAAGAAACTTCCCATTTTGTTACCTACTGACAGAATCTCTTAACTTTTGGATTGACAGCTTAATTTAAAATTTTTGCAGTGATGTAAACGCTTTCCAGTCGTGACAGTGGGGTCAAATAGCTTCTTCACTTCTAACAATCAATCATGAGTTACAGAACAAGGTGTTAAATGAGCTGGAAGTCATCGAGTATTGTTGTTCTCTTCTGTATTTACTCAGTTGTGAAGTACATAAATGGCTAAAAATGAGTATAAAAAAAAATCACTGTGGGAATTGCTTATTACCAACAGAGTAAGATAACTCTGTTGGTTTCTATTACGTGGACAAAAAACCAAAATAATGCAGGACTTGGTTTTAATTCTCTTGCTTCTTATGCAGAACCTTTTTGGCAAGATGGCAGACATACTGGAAAAAATCAAAAAGTAAGTTATCTGACATGAGTGTATTTTTCCTCTTTAAACAAGACTTGACCAATGTCTGGAACGCTAGTAATAAAATTTCGTTTCTTTTTTGTTTTCAGCTTGTTCATGTGGGTTCAGCCAGAAATAACACAGAAGCTCTACATTACTCTATGGGCAGCTTTTATTGCATCCTGCTTTTTGCCCTACAGGATTATTGGGCTTGCAATGGGTAAATGCAATAAATAATTGACCTGTTACAGTCTGGACTTAATGAGTTAAAACTTAACATGATCTTCAGAAGGAGAATTTTAGTGTTTAAGAAAGAAAACCCTGCATTAATAAATAATACAGCTTTTTAAAGTATTTTCATTGTGCTTGGCATTGTTTATCATGTGCATTTCAAAAACCATTGCTGAATACATAATATAATAGAAAAAGACTGGTTAATGCATTTGTTCCTTGAAGAGGAAAAGTTTATGGTGAGGCTTCTGGGAAGTGCTATATTTTGGGTTTTTTTCACTCATATATCCTTGCAAATGAAATATATGGGACCACATAGAAGGCACAAAGATGACAGGGTTGGAAAAAAATGAAAGGGTTAAGGGGACTACTTGTAAAACTTGGAGGGTAGGCTGGACAAAATGAACAGATTACTGTGGATGAAGTTGCAGATGCTGAAATATCAACTGGGAATTAAGAAAAGAAGGTTCTCACTACAGCATGAGACTATCTTTTCTCTAAGATATGAAGCCGTGTCCTGTGAACCAAGAATTCTAATTTTTTTTTTCATTAAAGTCATGATATGATCAAATGAGTATTACTTTTAGTGGCACTGCACTTCAAACTGTGTTAGCTTGAACATAAACGTAGATTTGCTGACGTGGCAGTTGAATTAGATGTGTGAGGAATTATTTTTTTTATTCTGACTGTTAGAGATCTGAATTGCATTCACTAAAGTTTTGAGGGAGTATTCCAAGTCCTTTTTAATCTGGCAGAATGCAAGGAAATATCTTGTATAAAATAAGAGGGCATACTAGACTGGAAGATAGGGTTTAATGTAGTACATGAGAGCCCTCTGTTGCCATTTAAATTCTTGCAAGGAGCTGCACAGTTTAATGCTCTGGTGTGTTTTCTGTTTTGGAAGTATATCATGTTTTCAGAATGCTTCTGGTAATAAGGAATGTATGTTTGAATTATTTTAACGTTCTTCTTTAATAAGAAGCTATGTAAATAGTTTAAAAGAACTGGGGATAGGGAAGAAGGAATCTGGGCAGGGGAGGAGAAGAAAAATAATTTCCTGCCTTTGGAAGAAGAATCAAACTATTAAAACCAAGAGAATGGTTTAGCACTATGACTGAAGATACTTACAGAATTTGGTTTCATTTATGAACTTGTTAAAATATGATCAAAACAGTGATGTTCTTAAAGCGCCTTCAACATGCATACTAAAATGACCTTTTTTCAGGACTCTATGCTGGAATCAAGTTTTTCCTTATTGATTTTATCTTCAAACGATGCCCCAGACTAAGAGCTAAGTATGATACTCCTTACATCATCTGGACAAGTCTCCCGACAGATCCTCAGCTCAAAGAAAGGTCTAATGCTACAGTGTCGAGACGGGTAAGGCTAATAAATCTTTCTGTCCCTCTGCTCCCAACATCTGAAAATCAGATCCCTTTCTCCCTTCCCCTTTTCCCCAGTGACTAGAGCACATTAAAGGGAAGGTTAATTAAATCCTAACAGTCAATGTGAGTTCTTTTTTTTATTATTTTCAAGATCCACAGAGTTTTTATATGGATTCTGTTTCTTGTACGGAAGGAATCTATTATCAAAACGTGTATATAAACATGTATGTATCGTAGAAATTGTATGACGCTAAATGCACAAAAATAACACCATCCATATTCGTATCAATTTCTGTGACATACATTCTGTGTGATTTTATTGTCAAAATTTAGTCTTTTTGTGTTCCCTTTCTCTGTTCTCAGACATTCTTTTTAGTGGAAATTCAGCTGCTTGTGTAGATTGAAGAACAACTAGTTAAAAAAAAAGGCTTGAGTATAATATGCAGCTTCCTAATGGGATAAGCATTAACAGAGGTAATAAAGTAGTTTACAGACTTAGGCATTATGTCTTATGGTTATTGGTATTAGATGACCTTTTAGCATAGTGGTGCTAAATGACTTTTTCACCATGTTGGTACTCCAACAGTAAATTTTTCTTTTGTTAAAATCTCATAGTTAAATCTTTAAGTGTTTTGTTTTGTGCGTCTTTGCAGATTGTTTTGGGGCCTGACACGATAACTGAAAAGCAAGTCACGCTTCTCCATATCCTGAATTTGTCAATGTTTATTAGTTAAAAAATAGTTGTAATAAAACTTCATTCTAATCCCATTTTAGCATTTACTTAATGCCTCTTATCACAATATCTTATTACATTCACAGGGTATCTGGGTACTGTCATAAGCTTCTTGACTATAATGTGCAGCACTTAGCAATAACTCAGCCTGGGTACAAAACTGGAGAGCAAAAGGGATAAACACATGAACCCTCGGTAGTTAACCTGTGAAGAAGAAGAAGAAATATATGGGGTTCTGAGGGAGATGGAGTAGTTGGTGGTAAAATAACTGCAGCATAATCTGAGTGTTTCAGAAGGAAGCAGAAGACAGTCTCTGACAGCAAGTGAGTCCTTTGCTCCTATTTTCCAGAGGATAAGAGAGGCAAATGAGTGCTTGGATGGAGCTGTCTGTAGCCTGTATTTCTCTTGCTTGCAGAAGATGGGCTTAAAGTTTCTTTGCCTCTCGAGCTTACAGGTTATCGTTCACATACTGTGGTGGTTGTGGCAGCTTCTTGCTGGGTTTCTCTAATCTGCCTTAGAGGTGGAAAGGCTCTGAACTGCTGAACTTGAATCCATAAACTTAGAGAGTAATTATCCCTTCTGGCTTTTCCTTATGGCTTAAGTTTTGACAAGTAGACCAGGGTTTTAGTACTACTGTGTCTGCCGTGACAGGCTTGGTTTGTCTCCCTGGAAAGGATGTTCAGGACTGCATTATCTTCTTCCAAATGTCTATGAAAGGAGACATTAACTTGGTCTCAATAATTTTAGAAAAACTTTCTTACCCCTTGAGAGATTTCTGGGAACGTCTAGTATAAAAAGTAGATTTTTGTACAAAAAGATAAAAACCAAATAGGTTTTTCATTTTTTTCCTAGAAAAGGCAGAGCCCAAAAGCATGTAGTGCCAGCGTATGTGCATTTGCTTTGGCTTCTTATCATAAAACACCATACCAGACACCATAAACCAAGACACAATGCAATGTTCATTGCCTGTACCACCACTTTGACCCCATGTCCTTAGACAACAATCCCAACAACAGTATCTGATGGGTAAAGGTTGTATGTCAAAAGCTGATGACAGATCAAGTGAAAAGGAATACCTCCAGATATTCCTACCTCCAGGTTGTTGGTGACGTTTTTAGGCAGTCAGGACTCTTCCAGCATTACAAATACAATCACTTCCAGTTAGATTTAAGGCTTATCAAAATCGGATGCAATGCTTTTCTTTTAGTAATCGACCATAGGTTGTCTCAAGCCTGGGTGGTTATGGATAAATTAGCTGCTGCTTTTAAGGGTAGAGGAAACATTTGCCTGTTTTAGGAAGGACTGGAAGTAGGGGCAGAACTTTCTCACGTCTTCAGCCACTGGATGGGATGTTGTACTGAAGTTTAAACACCTTTTTTAAATCCCTTTATATAATGGGTAGGTAGGAAGCAGTGTAGCAGAGAGCAGGAATAATCCTCATTCCAGCGCAAAAAGCATTAGACTTCTTGCCCTGACCTTTTGTTTGTTTTGGACCATGGAGCTTCACCTGGTTATGTGCATATGGAGCAAATAACTTGTCCAAGAAAGCCTTCCAAAAATTCATCTGATCTTTACTTGCACACAAATTGCTGGAGAAGCTATTATTTTTCTTGGTTCCAGGGGCTTGATCGTTGCTAAGGGCACAGCAGAGGGGCAGTAACTGAAGCAAAAGTACAGTTATCATCAACCATTTGCTTTCCATGTCAACTTTCTTTATTTTTTTCCCCCAAGGCATCGTTGTATTACAGTTACCCTAAAAGCTGGATGGTAAATACCCTCTGTCATGCCTGTTTTGTCAGTCTGGTTTCTAGTCAGCGGTTGCAGTGCGCGTTTTTTCATTTGCTTGGATTTCTTTTGTTGGCGCTAAATCCTGCAAAGTGTCAAGGGCTGCCAACTTACGTGCAAAAAAAACCAGCAGAGGCTGGTTGGCCTCCAGCAGCATCGGGCCTTTACAGAAGGGCTTAGTCCTGAGCTTGCATGCTGTCAGTTTGCCAGTTGTTTAACTGCATGTGTACAGTAGGACTAAGAACGGAGCTGTTAATGCTTCGATGACAAAAGCCAGCCTTTGGAATCGTGTGGTGCCCCACCAAGATGAAAAAGCAAACACAAGCAATCTTTCCAAAAGAAGCTGCCTGCCATCCTTCCAGAAGCAAGGCTTTTTTGCTAGGGCAGTCTCCAGTGGTTCAGGAGCTCTGTTTAAAAGTAGATTTTACTCAAGTACTTTGGTTTTGGGAACTCCATGCTACCTTTTCCCCCCCTAAGGATGCTGACAACCATTCTGATTTTGTTTCACGTGTCAACACTCTCAAAATTCGGTGCATCTTCAAAGCAAAGGAAAGATCAATGGCTCTAATGCAACCTGAATAAATTGAACTGGTGTGCTCTAACCACTGATAACTCTTCTTTTTTTAATTGCATTCATTGTGTGTAGTCTCTTGGTTTGTGAGCAAGATCTTGCAGCTTCATTCAGTTCATGTTTTATTCTATGTATTATACTGTTAAATAGACTTCACTTTTTTTCTTTTGTCACTGTCACATTTGTGTTGTTTGTTTCTTTTCCTGCTAGCTGTCAGGGCATGAAAAGGTATGGATCGTAGCGTGGAAAACTTCCTTTCAATTTCAGCATATGTGTTCCTAATGAACTGATGCAGTTTTGTGTGGCTTTTTCTTTGTTTGCTCTTTTTTCTTTCTAAACTTATTTTGTGCAATGATATTTTGTGCTTGCTCTGTCTCCTGAAGACGAGCCAAGTATTGACAATATATTAACTGTTATTAGTCCCACTAGTATAATAATTGGAGTTGTGTGCAGTGACTTAGCTGTGTCTAACCAGATATACCCTTTACTGTAGTAAAATGGTATTTTAAGATAGGTCCATCTAGCACCATGTGCTTTCACCCCTGCAAGCTATGTCCATCAAAGGGCAGCACTTTGAAAGGTGATCTTCAGATAGCACATTAGAGCTTTGTGCTATAGCAATAGCATATTGCAGTAGTCCAAAGTTAACTTTATTGAAGTAGCTAATGAAAATGGTTGCATTACAGATCTTTTTTTAGAAAGAATAGTTAGCCAAGTTATTTTTAAGAGCACAGCTTAAATGTTGCTCTTCAAATTTTGGAATCATGTTTATTTTTCTGCAGCTTCAAACAGCAGCATCCAGAAGTTACGTGGGCTCAAGTGCCCCAACCGGCATAAGCAAAGATGAAGACACAAGTCGTTTTCATACCACCAAGAGGGGGAATTTCCATGAAGTTTTTAACTTGTCGGAAAATGAGCGTCCTTTGGCAGGTATTATGCAACAGGAAGGCTACATGAGTAGAGTATTTTCTAAAAAGCCAAAGATCATTGAATTTCCTTTTTTGTGTAATATACTGGTATAAGCTTTTGATTAAGAAGACTTGCTTTAAATTAGGATGAATGGAGATGGTCTTTTTCATTCCACATCCTTACAGTGCTTTGAAAGAATGCACAGCCTGGCGTGCCTTTTGTGGTAATGCAAATGGAGTAGTCAAGTTAAAGGGAATAATTGTGTGGGTGGTTTTTGTTTTGGTTTGGTTTTTAAACGAGCATTAAAACAGATGTTATGATGTCTAAAACCACCCTATTTAGGCTTTTCTTTGTAAACACTTCTAGTTTTAGGTATCTAAAGTTTAATTTTCAGTGTTTTCTGCTGTTTTATACGGAAACCGCTGGGGGTAATGCCTGTCTCTTTCTTTTTCTTAAAGTAAGATTTCTTGTTATGACTTTTTCAGTATGTGAAAATGGTTGGCGCTGTTGCTTGATTAACAGAGATAGGAAGATGCCTACAGACTACATCAGGAATGGAGTTCTTTATGTCACAGAAAAGTAAGTCATTGCACTCCAGACATTTCTTAGGAGGGAAATGCAACAGACATTAAAAAAATGAATCTAAAAGTAATCCTTCAACAATGTTTTGAAACAAAAATGCCTTTTCATGGTGCTTTAAAACCTCAAGAAAGCACCATAGGAGAGGGAGAGCTGAATCTGGGTGTGGTAACGCTTAACAAATGGGATTTTGCCTTGGAAAGGCTTGCATAAGAATGCAGAATAGCTCTATGTAGTCGGTTGTTAGTAGCTGCAGTTCTTGATGTGGATCTATCTATCTATCTATCTATATATACTAAAAAAAACCTAAAAGCTAAGCGTATTTTGAGAGTTGTGATCAATGGGTATTTGGCAAATACTCTTAGTTTCTTTTTTTAAGGCAAATCGAACGTATAGCTTCCTTGAAACAATGTGCAACAAAAAGAAAACAGAAGTTCAAGCGTTGCTTTGAAAACTAGTACTTGATTTTTATTTTTTTTAATCCTTACTTACCCCCTAGCCTCCCAGGGCTGAGTAACTATCGTCACTACTGTTTGGGTCTTGCACTGAAATTCCTTTGGAGTGTAATGAATGGAAGTAAAGCTCATCTGTATGCAGTGTCACCTAGTGATGGAGACCACTCTCCAGCATTTAGAAATCTGAGCTTTTGTCTGCATCACAATAATGTGAAACTAATGCACTGTTTTCCATTAATCTTCTCTTAGGATGGTAAAAGATTTATAAACCTTTTGAGATTGGTATTCCAACTGTTTAATAATATACGTGCTTCCTGTGTCTTTAAAATGCTCCTCAGGTTTAACCATTCAGTGCAGTAACATAAAACAAGATTTTTTTTGTGTGCATGCCGTGTGTTCTGGGCTTTCAGACATGTTATCCAGTTGCTAGAATTTATGAATGTTTGCTCTACTTTAGAAGCCGTAACTGAATTGCGTATTGTGTGCCTCTCTCTTTTTTTGAAGTTGATTTTAACCTGTGAGATTTCAAACTTCAGAAGTGACAGGAGGGATATTGAGAGCTTTGTTTTAGAATACTGTATCAAAATGACCATGTTCTTACCTTGTCTTCAGTTACTTATGCTTCGAAAGCTCCAAATCCGGCTCATCTAAAAGAAATAAAGTTATAAAGCTAACGGATATAACAGATATTCAGAAGGTATGTCTGTTTTGTGTTGCAAATAGGGGAGAAAGCTGGTTTTCTGTTCAGCTAGTCATGTTTTGCTTTTCTGCTTATGTTATTTTGAAAAAGCAGGCCATTGATAATTTTTATACATAAAATGTAATTCTTTGATCAAGAATATTTCCCAGAACTGCTTGTTTAGCCATTTGGACTCACCGCAAGCAAGCTTACCATGAACATAAAACCAAAGTAGTTTACTAAACCCTTACACTTCTGAATTATTTTAAAATTAAAGTTGTATTGTTTCTTAACTCCTGTGTTGACTAGAGCTGTGTAGGCTTTAAGAAGATTTATTGTGAGCAGGAATTGTGTAATACTAACTTCAGTTTGGGTGTTGATATTGGTAGATGCACCATCTTAAAAGTAGGTGCCTCAGAGGGAAGAGGGATTGTTGTCAGTGGAGAAAGGTAAATCATTAGAATAGCCAGACTGGATCGGGCTGGAGTTTCGTCTGGTTGGGATCCCATCACTAACAGAGGCAAGAAGTGGATGGTTGGAAGCACAGCAAGTACAATGTGATCCTTCCTCTGGTTGAGATTTATCAGCCTGCAGTCACCAATGGCTTTATTGCTGCCTTGCATCACTCTACATGGCATTTAATGTCACTTTTTGTTACCCGCTCTGAACTTGTCCTACTCTTAAATGCAGATACCCCTGCTTTCTACTACATCCTGTGGCTGTGAGTGCCACAGGTTAAATCATGCTGTGCAAAGAAATACTCAGCCCGGTGTTTACTGCTGAAGTACCTCCAGATTTTCAAATGAATTCCTTCTATTTATATCATATGCCTATAAAAGAGATAACTTACGCTCAACTTGAACATTCCCATTGGAATTAATAATTCATATTGATGGATTTTAAACATCATACTTGAAGTAATGTTGGCTCATTGTTGAGTAGGTCTTCACTGCCATAAAGGTGCTTTTGCATCTGTGTAGTTTTTTCAGTGAAGATGAGACAGGGATCATGTAGCTAAGCATAAGAATGTACTGTGCCTGGTTTTATTTGGGGGTGGGAAACAGAGGCCCGACTCAGGGTCTCTAACCCCATGGGGGTATTCCCCACTTCAGCCAACTGTATTCCTTCTTAGCATTACGGGCTTTCTTTAAAAAAAACAAACCAAAACAAAAAACAAAACCAAAACTCAAACCTATACATACACTGTTTGTCTATTTAATTTGGAAAAAAGAAGCTTTTTCTGATCTGCTTGCTGCTCCTTTAAACAGTGGGTGAATGTTACTTCTAGGGAAACCTCTAGGTGATGCTCACAGGCACGTATATATACTACATAGGGCCAGGGTGTTCTACCTGCCCACACCGTCCAGCTGCTGGTGCGGTCCCTGGCATTGTGGCTGGGCCAGCTCCTATGGGCCATAGTGGTGCTGGGGTGCTCGGTTTGGGGCTGTGGCTCGTTCTAGCAGGCAGGCTGGGTGCTGTGGTGCGTGGGAGGAAGAGGAGGGGCAGGCTCTTGCTGTCTGAGTGATGCTGTGCCCATTGACTCCAGGGTCAGAGAACAGCATCTGGCCTCTTCTTGTTTGTAATAGAGGTCTGTCAGTTGTGTCTGAGAGGATACACCAGTGATGAGCTGGGCAACCTTCTCGGCACCTTTTGCAATTGTTCAGTACGTAAGATATCCTTGGTTTGTGTCTTTTTTTCTTTTCAGTATAAAGTGCTCTCTGTTCTCCCGGGATCAGGGATGGGTATTGCTGTATCAACACCATCTACACAAAAAGTAAGTAGCTAGCTGTATCTGTATCCCTGTGTTTGACTTCATGCCCTTGTTGTCTTGCATCTCTGGCTAGCACCAGCATAAAGACTTTTTTCCCCTTATGCCAGTGTTTGGCTTTTTTTTTTTTTTAGTTCACTTGCCTATTATTTGGTATATTTGGCTTCAGAATTTTAATGATTCAAACATTTAGCTTCTTCTGCTGCATCTGGAGTATTTTATTATAACACTTAAGAAGGATGCGCTTCCTCCTTTCTGCTCCATTATTTCATTACCCCCATTGACCGTTCCCTCAGCATCCTTAATCAGGAGCATGGGGGCTGCTCTGCGTGCAGCCTGGAATGAAAAGCTGATGGCTTGAGAGTGTCTGGGGGTGAGGAGGCTTTGGGGTGGAAGGGCCTGACCCTCAGATGCAGTTTTCCTGTTTCAGTCTTGTGGTGCTAAAGATTTAAGCTTCTCTAAGCCTCAAATACCCTTTGGGTGACTGAAGCTTTTCTTAACATGACTGAACCTTATTTTAAACTAATCACCTATAAATAACTTTTCTCCAAGTCACACGACTGTTGCACCAGGCTTTCTGCTCATTGTTTGATATTAAGAAGTACTTCTTAATTAGAAGGTTAAAAATGTTCATCTACCTAAATAAATATTCTATGAACTGAAACAGAGGCACAGATAAAGATTTTTAGAAATCTTTAATGGAAGCAGAGGTCAATCAGGAAAACATCGTGCCCTGAGCAGATGGAGAGGAAAGAGAGCTGAAGTGTTCTCCATCGCTAATACTCTATGCAGATGCATTTTATGCCATGGTTGTTTTAAGAAGAAGATGGAATCGTAGAATCATTAAGGTTGGAAAAGACCCTGAGAAGTGAAAAAATCTTAGAAACTCTGCCATATATCCAAGGATTTAGTAGAGAAGAGGATTTTTATGTCTTTATTAATGCACTTCGAGTACAGTTCATCTCTTGTTCCTATTGATTTGGCCAAAACTATACCTGGAGGAAGACTTTTCTTTTCTGGACTGACATGATCTTTTTTTTCTGTCATTTAGCCTTTGGTGTTTGGTGCCATGGTACACAGAGACGAAGCTTTTGAGACAATTTTCAACCAATATGTGAAAATAACCTCTGCATCATCAAGCAGTGAGAGCTAGTATCTTATCTTAGAAGATCTAAAGGAAACTTTCTTATTTTACAACTTGGTAGTGAAAAAAATGAACATCCTCATCTATTTTGCAATAATTTTTCTTGTCTGGTGGTTTATATTCTATCTGTTACATAAATCAAGTGTATTTTATATATGCCTTCATGTTTGTTTTTAAGGTTTTTGTAAAAAAAAAAAAAAAACCAACAAAATGAAACAAAATAGTGAAAGTGCTATCATCACTATTAGCCTTGCACATTAAGCACTTTTAATGTTTATTTATTGACATTAAAAGCTGGGAAGATACTTGGAGAACTGACTAAATAACGAAGTGAAACAGATTGATCCCTTTAACTCCACTGATATCACTAGGGATACATTTGTTCCTTTATCTTAGTTATTTTTCCCCGAGATGTGAGAATGATGACTGCAGCAGCCTGAAGTCTCTTTCTTCAGCTCAGAGTTTTTAATTGGGTTCTTTATTAAAACCGATAGCAGCACCAAGGAAGTATTATCATCTTAGTATTTCCATATTTATAACTGCACTTAAAATAGCTCCTTCTTGCTAATTCTTGCATTGCAGAAGGATATTTTACTGGTTTGGTTAGGTTCAGTTTTTCCTGCGTAGATGTTTAAATTGCTTGTACAGTGAATTGGAGGAGAAAGATTGTAACTATATCTTCCTTTCCTAATTAACCAAAGTAAGAGGAAGGAAGGCAGGCAGATACTTTTTATAAAAGAGGGCACCAAAATGTTGTTCCTAAAATGTTAGGCATCGTATATTTGTATTTCTGTAGATACTTGTCATAGAAGGGCTCAACTATTGTACATGTTGTATGTACAAGCTGTTTGTATGTTAATGCATTCAAGACTTGCAGGCTTTTTGTGTTGGGGCAGGTGGGAATAATTACACTGAGGCATGACTCTCTCTTCTTAATTTGGCTTTTCTCTTGAGTTACCTTGTAATAAAATAACACTATAATATAGCAGCTGAAAGCACTAATTCCTTTTCAAAGCATAATTTGAGGGTCGTTGGTATGTTGCTGTCTTTCCCCTTGCAAAATTAAATTTTAGTAACAAACCCAACTGCCAGGTAAAACAGGAAGGCTGTGCTCCTTCTCTAAACTCTCTCAGGCCTTTCTAGAAGCAAAGCACATATTGACCTTTGTCTTTAATATTAGAAAGCTTTTATACTTTATATAATAGCACCCATCTGAGAGGTTTAGAATTTTATTTGCATTTGCATGAAAGCACAGTAGGAGTTATGCCAAGCCTTCCAGTATGTCTTTTCCTTTGCTGTGTCTTTTGAGATGGGTAGTATGGATGTCTTCAGACATTGTATGAATGTCCCCAAAAAAAGCAATGGAGAGAGAAAGCAAGTTCTTATGTGAAAATGGGACTTAATTTCATGGATTTTTTTTTTTCTCTTTTTTTTTTTTTTAACAGGAGTTTTCTTTCTTTATAGGGAAGGGGGTAAAATGAAGGAGGGAGAGGGGAGACAAAGACCAAAGGGTGTTTAACTCCTAGCACAGTTTTTAATTAAAGTCTCAACAAATGCAGCAGTAATGAAGAAGGTGGCAGTCAGACTGCACAAACCTTATTTCATTCTGGCCATGAAGAGGTATAATATGAAGAACTTAATATGAACTTGATGTGAAGAAATACTGTTGAATACTGTGATTTGGTTGGGTATTGTAAAGTGAAACACTGATGGGGTAAAACTCTGTGCCCTGGGTGGAAATGTGAACAAGAATGGGGGAGAATCCACCGTAATGGCTAAAATGTTATTTTTGACTTCTCCCTTTAGAGTAGGACTTCAACATGTCTTTACATGACCTGAAAAAGGGGTGCATTTCTAACACCTCCTTAGGTATGGTGTAACTCAGGGCCTGAAAACTTAAAATATAAGTGAAGCTGGTGGGAAATACATTTTGTCATCATGTAATATGGATGTAGCTTGACAGTTTATGGTTTCTTCACTTTACACATTCAGGTTTAAGTAAAAATCCTTGATCTTTAATTTTTCTCACCAAACCTACTTTAAAATCAACTAATCTCTTTTTGTAATTGCTGTGTATTATCATTTGGCATTCCTTTCTAGAAGCTTCCTTGAATAGTAAGTGTGGCTAACAAATAGGCATTAAAATCGCTTAATGTTATATAAATCTTAATCAGATTCATTCATTTTGTCTTAAGAAAAAAATCCCTTGGGTGTGTTTAAGGTTATCCTTTTTTTCGAAGAAACAGAAAACTATATTTTTTACAGAGACCATGCTCTTTTTCTTATTTTTGTATCATTTTTCAAGTGTAATTTATACCTTCACTCTGATCATAACAGCAGTTTCAGTAGGAAATCAGTTGACTTGCACTTATTGCCTCCTCCCCTGCCCACCCTTCACTGGTTGACCCTAGTATATAGGTTTGCCCTAGATTCTGGTTCCTGGAGGAGCTATAGGTCCTCTGCTGATGGTGCCAGGACAATTAACCATACCTAGGCTTTGGAGAAGGAGAAAAGATCTGTTACCCTTTTTCCAGACTGAAATGCCTCATGCATACAATATGCTCTTAAATTTTTTTTTTTCTGGACAAAAAAATTAGAAAATTCTTATAAAATCTAGTGGGTTGACATTTGAAATTAATCCACGCTTTAACAGCATGAACGTAAAAACTAGCAATTCTTAGAGCAGTAAACCTACTGCAAACTGCAATGCAACATTGTTTCATTCTAATATATAGAAAACAGACTGGATTTTTTTTAAAAAATAGAGTTGTAATATAACTGACAAACATCTATGTACATATTTTGCAAAGTTCACTTTACATGGGGTTGTCCAGGTTCCTGCTACATAACTGCTCCTGTGGCGTGCGTAACATCAGAGACACTAGAAGATGACCTTGGTGTGTTTGCTCGCAGGTACTCCTGTGCTTTTCCTCCTGCTACACCCTCACAGGTTTGGAGGGCGGGAGGGGATGGACAGTGCGTAAATACATACTTGACTTGTATAATTACACTGAAGTTCACCTTAAATTCCAATCTTCCTACGTAGTTCTGCAGTATAGCCTGCTGTACTTCAGTGACAGGCTGGGTCGTGCCACTTAATGTAAAGTGCTACTTTCTAATAGCAGAAAGTGATGTTCTTGTCATTCTGTCTGTCTGTTTGCTGTTTATATTTGCAATTCTGTTTTGATGTCTGTGGTTCATTGCTGGATCATTCACGTGTAATTGGATTTAACTTCTTTAGAAGTGAATTTGTTAGTTTGAGTCCCTTTTAAAGAGGAAAAAAAAGGGAGATGAAAACTGACTGCTTTAATTCTTTATCGGTGACCATTTAAATTCAAAAGGCACAAAAAGCTGAAATATGAAATCATGCCTTTCCGTGCACTGTAGCTTTTGTGAGGCAAGATTGAATGAAACAAGCTCTTTATTAGTAGCAACATCACACGGGACGCCAGCAGCAAAACCCTACCCTTGTTCCTGCAGACAAAGAGAAAAGAGATTTTACCCAGTCGTGAAGAGATGAAAGGATGTACTTTTTTTTGGCTACTTAAACTTGTATTAAAAACACTGGTAGTTTTTATTGAATTCTGTACATTTTGGCAGATGTTTAATTTCTACTAATCATTGAAATATAATGGATGTTAAAATTTTTATGTCTGAAGTTTGACTCTATATTTTGAAGTTGTAAATAATTCATTATCAGTGTAACTTTTGTTTGACAAAAGACTTATACTGTATGAAGAATTGAAATAATGAAATGATTTGCCCTGTACATTTTTTAAGAAAATCTTGTTTGTTTAAAAAGTCTTGTATAAATTATAATTTTTATTTAAATAAACCTAAAAATGCTTTGTGCTAACACTTTTTACAAACTTGAATAACTTATCTATCAAAACTACGTCTGATTTCTTGAAATGAGGTGAGTTAGTGCTCTTTGGCAGATCCATAGCCACCTCAAGTCCGTCACTGGGGGGAGGCGGGTGGGTTTTGTTTCTCACTGCTTTTGAAGCCCAAGGAACATGCTTTTATTTTAAATAATCCTGTTAATGTATAGGAGAGTGGCTGTATATTTTTGGTTAGATCTTTGTCTGTAAGTGCATCTGTCACTTTGTAATCATACAGTTAATTTAGGGGATGAAAAAACAACCAGTGATTTCTAAGATGCTGCCACTGCAGGAGGGCATGGGTGACACAAGACTGTTGGCAGGAGTACAAACTCACATCTGCCAGAGCTCAAAACAGCACAAAACAGATAGGTGCTCAAAGAGCACAAAACAGATAGGTGCAGAGTGTGCTACAGGTGGGCACTGGAGGGAAGAATAAGCCCTTTTCCCCCCCAAAGGTGTGCAGGAGGCGTGCTCAGCAGAAACGTTTCACATCCAGATACGGCTGTCACTTCAGCTCATCAGTCACACCGACACCTATCTAATCACTGAGCCTTTGGCCGTGCTTCTGTGTAACCTGTATCCCTGTCGGGGATAAATGGCTGGGCTACTTCATCCCCGGGGTATGCCAGGGAGGCTCGCTGCCCAGCACCGGCTTTCACTGGGTACACAGGCCTTTGTCTGCAGTTAGGAATGTAATACCAGGAGTGAGCTGCCTGCTCACCTAATCCAGACCTATTTCTTTGCCTCTACAATACTCCTTTCTGCCTGTTGTGGTTTAACCCCAGCCAGCAACTGAGCAGCACGCAGCTGCTCGCTCACCTCTGCCCTCGCTGGTGGGATGGGGAAAAGAGTTAGAAGGGTAAAAGTGAGAAAACTCATGGGTTGAGATAAGAACAGTTTAATAATTGAAGTAAAATAAAGTAGAATAGTAGTAGTAGTAGTAGTAGTAGTAATAATAACATAATAAAAATAATAATAATATACAAAGCAAGTGATGCACAATACAATTGCTCACCACCCGCCAATCAATGCCCAGCATGTCTCTGACAGCAATCGCTGCCCCCTGCCAGCTCCCCCAGTTTCTATACTGAGCATGATGTCATGTGGTATGGAAGAGCCCTTTGGCCAGCCTGGGTCAGCTGTCCTGGCTGTGCCCTCCGCGCTCCTGGTTGACTGGGCAGAGC